GGGGGGGAGGGGGGGGGGGGGGGGGGGGGGGGGGGGGGGTGGGGGGGGGAGGGAGAGAGAGAAACATCAATGTGAGAGAAAAACATCGGTCAGTTGCCTCCCATACACAATGCTGACTGGGGACTGAACCCAAAACCTGGTATGTGCCCCGACCAGGAATCAAACCCATGACCCTTTGGTACATGGGATGGCACTCCGACCAACTAAGCTACACTTACTGAGGCAATTTGGTAATTTCTTATAAAGTTGAACATGAATCTACCATATGGTCCAGCAATCTCACTCCTAGATATTTATCCCAGAGAAATAAAAGCTTAAATTTACACAAAAACTGGCACAAATGTACATGGTAACTCTTGTTTATAATTGTCAAAAACTGGAAACAACTTAAATGTCCTTCGGGGGATAAATGGATAAATAAACTGTGGTATATCCATACAACAGAATATTACTCAGCAATAAACAGGATAGAAATACTGATACATGTAATAACTCGGACTAATCTCAAAGACATTACACTGAGTGAAATAAACTAGTCCTCAAAAGATCACATACTATATGATTCCATTTACATGAAAATGGAAAAAGTAAAAAACAAAATGATAGTCATGTAGAAGAGTGGTTGCCAGGAGTTAGAATGGGAGAAGAGTGTGACTATGAAGTGATAGCACAAGGCAGTTTTTTTGGTGATGGTACTGTTGGTATCCTGCTTGTGGTGGTGGTTACAGGAATCTACATATGTGTTAAAACTGATAGAACTGTGCACCAAAATGAAAAAGTCAGTTTTTCTGTACATTAATTTAAAAAAAAGTTAATTTTAAAAAGGCAATTTGACATTTAAATCTTATAGTTCATACAAAGAAGCCATTTAGAATTTAGTTTGCAGCACAACAGTATTTTAGAGAGTATCATAGGCTTTGTTTTACAGTATACCATGGAGCTCACAGAGCATTATATGAAAATTTCTTAACAAACTTCAAATAAGAAAAAAAATAGTTTTAACGTCAAAATGCTTAGTAAACACCAAGTAAAAAAACATCCATTTTAGTGACCTTCACTTGAATTCCAGCTGCAGACAACATATCTGCTAATTTTTTTTAACATAGCAACATACTTAATTTTGCTGGCACATGAGTGGTGGTTATAATAATCATTAAGTAGTGAACAAAAAGGTTAAATGAACTATAAATAGACTAACAGCCACTCAGATCATTTAAAACAAAGATGAATTTTATAGCTCTTCAATTAAGGTATTAGAAAACCATGGCACTAGGTCAAATAAAGGATGATATGCATTTGAACCAAATAACTTATTGTCTGTGGGGAAATAAGAAAGTGTTAATTATTAATTAATCCCATAAATTTTAAATAAATAATCCTTGAATGTTTATTGAGGCATACAGTATTTGAAAAATGTTTTCTAAATGCAACATTCAAGTCAGGGAAAGTGGTAAATGCTATACATTCGAGTCAGCTAAGTTAAAAAGATTACTTAGCTATAACTTAGTATTTCTGAAGCATATAGGTTTCCAGCTCTGGCTATGATTATTCTGAACTTACAAAGAAGAAATGGGAGGTTGGCCTGTGTATGAAATGGATCAGACCTTCAGCTGCTTCCAGGCAGCTGCTGCATTAAATCGAACAATCTATACAGAAATTCCAGTGATGACATAAATCTGCATGTTCTGAATTTCCTTCATATTTTATGGAACATTGGTCCCACTGTAGCTATAATATCTGCATAGGGGGCTCTCTGGCTCAGCTCAATAGCCCGCTGTTTTTTTAGGACGAGAAAGCTATAAAATCTGGCGGCTGCTTGTTTTCGGTCACTATTTCTGCAGAGAGTCATCAGACTAAAGTGCTTCATTCCTGTCTTGTAGAATTCCTGGGAAAATAATTAGAAAAGAGGACAGGAAAGGGAAACAAGATCATTAGAAGTAAAGCAGATTGTGAATGCATAATGAACAACAAAAATTAACATTTTTGATAAGTGATTGTGAAATCCTTAAATGGAGAAATGCAAATGACTCATTAGTAAACTTAAAAACCATATAGGTCATAGAGCCCAAGCTTGGTTCATTGAGAAATGCATGCAAAAGAACTCTAATGTGTTATACAAATGTTAGATCTTTAAAAAAAATGATATTAACGTAAATGGCTCCTGTGAAAAGTGCAATTAGTTTAGACTTGCAGGGAGAAAAAATTCACCAGACTTTGGGAGGCTTCAAATGCAATGCAGATTATGAGCCTATTAAGGCCGCTCTTCCTTAAAGATACTGGGAGAGGGTGGTAACTATAAAACTCTAGCAGTAAATATAGAATTTTATTTGTACATCTCAGTGACAGGGCAACATGACTATATAAACATCTCCCAGTTTCTTTGCACAGGTTAAAAGGATGTTGATTTTGCCATAGGGTACCTGTGAACCTACTAGGAAAAACTAAGGTAAAATAAATTGTTTAATTATGGGTGAAGATAGCTCCTTTTATGAAGATTTGTACTTGGAATCAGACTCCTAGAAGAGAAGGGCAGTTTTTTAGTTGGAAATATTGTGGTGAATACTGGCCAGTATCCCTGTGAGTACTGTAATCCTTGGGTAGTTGTGAAGCATTTTTAGAAATACCATATACAAAGTTGGCTTTTTTTTTTTGGCCAGTTCATAACAGTTAACAAATTAATAAGTTAAAAACTTAATCTCAACCAAAGGAGTGGCCCAGTCTTGGCAACCTTTCAGAGGTGGCGTGACAGGACTTCATTTGTTCTTGCTCTTGAGGAGATATGATGTGGGTTGAGTGGCTTTCTCCCCTGGGAGGGAGCAGGGACAGCCCTTTCAGTTTCAAGAATCCTTTTGAAAAACACTCTGAGTGGACAAATATTCAAGATTAAATGCATGTGCTTATTCTCTCCCCTCCAGAAACCCCTCTAAAAACGAAAGAAAATAAGTAGAAGGTGACAAAGAAAGGAGATAAAGCCGAAGAAAATGGAAGACTAATGGACTTAGCAGAGTGGAGAAGGCTGAAACCTAAGTGCCAACAGGGAGGAAAACCAACAAAAAGCAAGTCAATTTGAGCTACAGAGCCTTTGGAAACCTCAGGAATTAGAGGCACCAGTATATGATAAGCTGGAGATACAGAGGGAAGCTGAAAACAGGAGAACTTCTTGAAAGTCTACTTGGGAGCAGTTGGACCTTCAGGTCCACTCCACCACTTCACTGGATGGAGACATGGCTCCTGCCATACCCTAGCAGGCTATTTCCCCTGGGGGAGAGCAGGGACAGTTTTTTAATGTCAAGAATCCTTTTGAAAAATACCCTGAGGGGACAAATGTGCAAGCCTGAACATATGTGCTTATTCTGTTTCCTCCAGAAACCCCTCTAAAATGAAGAAGGCAGGAAGGTGCTTTTCTGGAGACACCAACCACTGTGATGAGACCCTAGCCATGGGACACCAGGCACTGTGGATGGTAGAGAAGCGTCATACCACAAACTAGGGGTTAAGTGAAATTCAACACTCTAAACAATAAGAGAGCCAGCCTCTCCCTGACCACTTTTGGTTCCCAGACCATGGGCATCATGCTTATATCTCCTAGGCAGTAGATGTGAGGATTAAGCTGGGAAAACTGTCCATTTTGAGGAAAAAAACACCTACAGATAATGATATCAGTGTATGTGTGTGGGGGAGGCACCCAATTACGATGAAGACCATAAGTCTACAAGCACCATCCATGCTTATATAACTTCCAATTAGATTTTTGGTATTTCATTCTTAAATAAAAACAGATAATCCAAGGTCTATCAGATATTTGAGTAAGATTTCTAACAACCAAGAGCAAAAAAGAAAAAATTCAAGAGAATTGCTAAGGAAACGGAAATAATGCAGGGAGCAGAAGAAAACTATAACCTTTAAAAGTTAAGAAAAGACACTACATCTGTAAAAAATGATTAGAATGATATGAGAAAAGCAGAGCAGTGGTTTGCTTGGGGATGGGAGAGATGGGACAAGGGATTATCAAGAGGCACAAGGAAACTTTTTGGGATGCTCACTATCTTGATTGTGGTGATGGTTTCACAGGTATACACATATGTCAAAACTTCTTTAACTGTATACTTTAAATGGGTATGGGTTTTTGTATATTAATCATACCTCAATAAAGCTGATAAAACTAACTAAATGATTAGGATGCTATAAAACACACAACAAACACCTAAAACCTAAGGAAAAACTCCTGGAAAACAAACCAAAAAAAAGATGTAAGTGGAAATAAAATTCAATAGACTTGAAGATAAAGTTGAATATTCTAAACCATAGAAAACACAACAACAAAGGACATTAATAGAGGAGATACAAGATTTTTAAAAAATTAAAGGTGCCATTTAGGAGACCCAACATCTGGCCCATCAGAATCCATACCAAAGCACATCATCATGAAATTTCAGAGCAATAGGGATAGAGAAAAGATCTAAAAGCTTCCAGAGATAAATAAAGGTCACTTACAAAGGATCACCAACCAAGCAGCATCTGGCTTTTCAGTAACAACCAAGAAGCCTAGAAACGTTACAAAGCCTTTAACACCTGAGAGATAATGTTTTTAAATTATGTTCAGGGACAACCAAACAAGTTAAAGATAAAATAAAGAAATTTTCAATCTTGTATGTAGGATCTCCCATGCACTCATTTTCTCAGGAAATTAGGAGAGGATGTTAGCCAAAAGGAAGATCAAAGTACCAGGAAATAGAGGCACGAATATAGGAAAGAGACAAAGGAATTCCATGTATGGTAAAGGGATGTCCCAAGACAAGAGCAGGCCTACAGAGCAACTAATCCAGGTAGAATAAGAGGGTGATGAGCTCTAGGAGGGATCGTCAAGAAAAATAAAATGGAGCTGATGAATTACTATGTTGCCAGAAAGTTTGGAAAAATAATTAAGAATGGGTATATAGACACTAGGCTAATGGAAAAAAATGAAGTAGTGATTAACTTTCCCCCCACCCCCAACCCCCATAAAGTTAACAAGAAGATAAATGTAATTACACTATGAAGTTTCAATGTGAACTAACTTTTACATCGTCTTTGTGGCAGCAACTGCTGGTTGTCCCTTGATATCCATTCTCCTCTTCTTCCATAAGTAATAGGACTACCTGGGCCCAAGGTTGTCAGGTAAGAACTACATTTCCCAGCTAGACATGAAAAGGTGACTAAACGCTGGTCAAGGAAATGAGAAAAATGATACCCACGATAACTGGGTTGTGCCCTTAAGGCGACTTTGCTGCTGATTGGAATGCGGCAAAGCCATTTTGGATAATGAGAACAAAGAAAATGAGATAAAGGGAAAGAGGGTCTCAGACAAGTTTGTGAGAATAGCTGCCATATCAGATGGTGCTTTTACCTCAAAGAGAAAAAATGCTTCTATCTTTTTAAGCCACTGATAATTTGGCTCTCTATCACAATCAAACCTGCCTCATAACTATTACAATTGTAACTTTGTAAGCACTGTTACTGTGCTAAAATATATTGAGGAAGGGTGAGATGTAATTAAGCTAAATTTTCATTAGAAATAAATAAAATGTAAAGCTAAAATATCAAGAAAGAGCCATAAAACAAGTCATTAGAAATATGGATATAAATACTAAAAGAAACACCTTAATGTAGTTGTTTTTGGTGAGCAAGACTTAGAAATAAGGGGTAGGGCAAAGGACTTCTGTGCTTCCTTTTCAACCTTATAGCATAGTACTGTTAATTATAAGTTAAATTTAAAAATTATGGTTCACTCTTAAACTGTTATAAATTAAGTTCCACATTGAATATTTATTAATAATATGCTAAAAATAGGAATGGGACATAAAATAGATGTCTAGAGGCATGAGTATGGGTGAGAAGTTGATTAGAGCTTCTTCGAATTAGAACTGTTTGATGTAGGCACCAAAAATAAACTCCCATATTTAGCAGTGTGTATACTGCTCAAAATCATCTCACTAAAGTAGAATTTGGCCTCAACAAAAACATAACGAAAAACGGTTTCATTTTTATTGATATCTAGAAAACTGAAGTCAACATTTTACTTATTTTTTTAAAATAAAAATTGGGTTGATAAACCCTATCATCTTACCCTCAAATCATTTAACATCTGACGTATTCTTCGATTCCATCTCTCTGCCTCAATATTTTGTTCATTTCCCAATGACTCCTGTTTGAATGATTAATAAAATATTTCACTTAAGCAAATTTTACTGAATGTTTACTATTTGTCAGGCATAGTGTTAGCTCTACAAGAAACACAATTATAACACTGGATCCTGCCAAATAAGGAGCTTATAGTCTGATAACAGAATAAGACTAGCTTTCAAATATAGATCAGCCTTTGCAGGATTACATCTATACTCCCCAGGTTATCTTTTTATTAAAATTTTTATTGAGTTTATTGGGGTGACATTGGTTAATCAAATTATATAGGTATAAGGTATACAATTCTATAATACATGTTCTGTGTACTGTATTGTCTGTTCACCGCCCCAAGTCTCCTTCCATAATCACTTATTCCCCCTTCACCCTCTTCTACCTCCCTCACCCACTTTCCCTCTGGTAATCACCATACTATTGTCTGTGTCTATAAGGTTTTTTGTTTGTTTGTTTAATCCCTTCACCTTTTTCACCCAGCCCCCTAAGTCCCCACCCCTCTGACAGCTATCAGTCTATTTGTTCTCTGTATCTATGAGTCTGTTCCTATTTTGTCTGTTATTTTTTTCATTAGATTCCATGTGTAAGTGAAATCATATGGTATTTGTCTTTCTCTGACTGGTTTATTTCACTTAGCATAATACTCTCCAGTTCCCTCCATGCTGTCACAAAAGGTAAGATTTCCTTCATTTTTACAGCTGAGTAGTACTCCATTGGGTAAATGTACAGCTTTTTTATCCACTTACCTACTGATGCACACTTGGACTGCTTCCAAATCTTGGCTATTATAAATAATGCTGCAATGAACATAGGGGTGCATTTATTCTTTTCAATTTGTGTTTTGGGTTTCTTCTGATAATATTCCCAGAAGTGGAATCACTGGGTCATAAGGCTATTCCATTTTTAATTTTTTGAATTAACTCTGTACTGCTTTCCACAGTGGCCGCTCCAGTCTGCATTCCCACCAATATTGCACTAGGGTTCCCTTTTCTCCACACCCTTACCAACGTGTTGTTTGTTGATTTATTGATGGTTAGTCATACTGACAGGTGTGAGGTGATATCTCATTGTGATTTTAATTTGCATTGCTCTGTTGATTAGTGACATTGAGCATCTTTTCATAAGTCTATAGCCACCTGTATGTCCCCTTGGAGAAGTGTCTATTTGGGGGTCTTTGCTCATTTTTAATTGCATTATTTGTTGTTGTTTTTTGGTGTTGAGTTTTATAAGTTCTTCATAAATTTTGGATATTAACCCCTTATCAGATGTATCATTGGCAAATATGTTCTCCCATTCAGTGGCCTGTCTTTTCATTTTGTTGATGGTTTCCTTTGCTGTGCAAAAACTTTTTAGTTTGATGTAGCCCCATTTGTTTATTTTTTCTTTTGTTTCCCTTGCCTGAGGAGATATATTAGAAAACATATTCCTATGATAAATGTCCAAGATTTTACACACTACCTATGTTTTCTTCTAGGATTTTTATGATATTGAGTCTAACACTTAAGTCTTTCATCCATTTTGAGTTTATTCTTGCTTATGGTGTAAGAAGGTGGTCTGGTGTCATTTTTTTCATGTATCTATCCAGTTTTTCCCAGAACCACTTATGAAATAGACTATCTTTACCCCATTGTATGTTCTTACCTCCTTTGTCAAAATTAATTGACTGCAAAGGTGTGGGTTTATTTCTGGGCTCTCTTTTCTGTTCCACTGACCTAAATGTCTGTTTTTATGCCAGCACCATGCTGTTTTGATTACCGTGGCCTTGCAGTATAGTTTGACATCAGGTAGCGTGATTCCTCCAGCTGTGTTCTTCCTCAAGATTGCTGTTGCTATTCGGGGTCTTTTGTGGTTCTGTATGAATTTTTGGAATATTTGATCTAGTTCTGTGGAATATGCCATTGGTATCTTGATAGGAATTGCACTGAATCTGTAGATTGCTTTAGGTAGTATGGACATTTTAATGATGTTAATTCTTCCTGTCCATGAACACGGTATATGCTTCCACTTGTTTGTATCTTCTTCAGTGTCTTATAATTTCCTGAGTATAGGTCTTTTACATCCTTGGTTAAATTTATTCCTAGGTTTTTTGTGGGTTTTTTGAAACAATTGTAAATGGGGTTTTTTTCTTAGTTTCCCTTTCTGATAGTTCATTATTGGTATATATAAATGCAACCAATTTCTGGATATTTATTTTGTATCCTGCTACTTTACTGAATTCATGTATCAGTTCTAGTAGTTTTTCTGGTGGTATCTTTAGGGTTCTCTATATATAGGATCATGTCATCTGCCCCATGCTATCTTCTGATAAGGGGCTCAAGAGTTAGGAGATTCTGCAGTCTTTACTGGTAATGCATCCCAGGGCATCGGGACCTTACTTTGAAAAGTAGTCAGCAAAGACCACCACTTTTGATGAGGACTTATTCCAGCTCTGATCAATCTGAACTCAGTTAACAGAAGTGAACATAAAGCTATACAAAACCTGCCTTGTAAAGGCCTTTATCTGAACTTACTTGGTGATACAGAAGCTCTAACAATAATTGATGTTTAGGAGTTTGTGTACAATTGGGTTAGAAATCTTTCAGATTTTGAGAGTGCCTTGTCCAAAAGAGATCAACCAATTGCCTGTCATTATCTGAATAGATTCATTCTTTTCTGGTCTTAAACCTTCAGAAAGGCCTTACAACTGAAAAATTGTAAAGTTGAAATCCCTTCACAGGAACTCACTCTAAGCCCTTACCAAATAACACCTTATGAGCTGAGTACAGAACTGGGCATAAGAAACGTTCTGATGAGTCTGATAAAAGAGCAGGCCTATAAAGGGTTGGGAGAAGGAAAGTGGCCCAAATCTGACCTATTTTATAATTTTCCCTAGGCTAGCTCTGACCATGCAATCTAACAGCATCTGTGTCGCCCTTTTCACAGGTTCACTGTCCCACTTTCCTGTATATCTCTGGAGCCCAGACACTTCCTAAAAGTGCTTTCAATTTCATGGACTCCAAGATGATTTCAGAAAACTCCAGAATATTCTGTATGACATTTTAAATTATTTGAGGCTAAAATGACTGCTGAATCACCATTCTCACCAGCTATAATGGCTTCCTGGTCCTGCCTATGCTGTATCCTTTCTTACATTCCAAAGAGACAATTTGAAAATATGGTCACTATATTCTGAAGAGTTTTCCTCCAGCTACAATTGATGTTTATTCCTTTCTGATCTGTTCTGGATAAATTAGCTCATCCAATTACTAATGTTGATTTTTATTGTTAAATACAGAAAATGCTATTTTTCAAATGTAAAAAGCAATGGCCCAACTCTTTGTTAAAGGTCCATGAGACTGCAGCTTCACCTATATTGCACAACTACACTAACCAGGAAAAGACTCAGAAGAAATAGTCAGTGTGCTTTGCTGAAGCCTGTCAGCTTGATCTATCTGGACATCCTACAGCTGAATCCATTGTGTGGAAAGCCCAGTGGATTATTAAAACAGCTGAACTTGTGCTGTGTTGTGGTTTGCTTGACCCTGTATGAAAATAACCTGTGTCTATAGCGGCAACAAGAAAGGCAAACATGAATCAACCTGCTTCTCGCTCAGCTGTTTAAATGTTTCAGGTAAAAAGTTCAGGTATTTATTCTGTTCTAGATTATCCAGAGAATTCAATCTGTTGTCCACATACCAAAAAATAAAAATTAAAAAAAATCTAATAGCCTTAGAACTTATCATAACAATAATTTATTTAAAATATCAGGCATTAAACGTTTTGATATTATTTACTAAGAAACTGCTGCTAAAATTCGTTACAATCTTAAAAATGCCTTCAGCACTCTGGGACAAAAACTAGAGAAATAGGATAATAATAAATATTGAGTTAGGCGGGTCAGATGTTACTTCTAGCTTTGCATTTTTGTGTGTGATTCTTTGATTTCATTTTTTTAATTTATCAAATTAGTAAAGATTAAAAAAAATAGTTAACTCTAGGGTACATCTCCAGGAAAACAAGCCTTTTATGTACCCCTGATGAATATGTAAATTGTAAAATCCTTTTTTATTTTTGTTTAAAATATTACAGATGTCCGTTTTTCTCCCCAATGACCCATTCCACCCCATCCCACGCCCATCCCCAGTCCCTCTCCTTACCATTGTCCGCATCCTTGGGTTGTGCATATATGCATATAAATTCTTTGGTTGATCTCTCCCCCTCCACCTGCCCGCCCGCCCTCCTCCATCCCTCTAATATTCATTAGTCTTATCCATGCTTCCATGTCACTGAATCTATTCTATTCAGCAGTTTATTAAGTTTTTTAGATTCAAAAACCAATTTGTCAGTATATATCAAGAGTCCTAAAAATGCTCATACCCTTTGCTCTAATAATTTCGTATTATGAAGTAACCATAGAGGTGCAGACCGATCTATATAGACTGGGATGTTAACTGCAGCATTATTTATAATAGCTTTGCTACTGACTTGTGGCCCTTTGAGCAGGCTATCTTCTTTTTTCTGATCTCTAAAAGTCTTCTATAGATATAGCCCTTGAGCCATATAATGTTTTGGGAAAAATGCCCATACATATTTTTGATAAAGTAAACATTTTAAAAAAATCATTAAAAATTTTTTTTCAATTATAGTTGACATACATTATTATATTAGTTCCAGGTATACACCCAATGATTAGACACTACATACTTACTAAGTGATCAACCTGATAAATCTTGTACCCACCTGACACCATACATAGTTATTAGAATATTGTTGACTATATTCCCTATGCTGTACTTTACGTCCCCATGACTATTCTGTAACTACCAATTTGTGCTTCTTAATCCCTTCAACCTTTTTCACCCATCCCCTCAGTCCCCTCCCATCTGACAACTGTCAAAATGTTCTCTGTATCTATGAGTCTGTTTCTGTTCTGCTTGTTCATTTATTTTGTGTGTTTTTTTACATTCAGTTGTTGATAGATATGTATTTATTGCCATTTTATTGTTCATATTTTAATCTTTTTCTTCTTTTTCTTCTTTTTAAATTAGACCCTTTAACATTTCATACAATACTGATTTGATGGTGATGAACTCCATTAGCTTTTTCTTGTCTGGAAAGCTCTTTATCTGTCCAGCTCTCACCCTGATGTCAGACAATTCAATTCCTCCCCAAATGTCCCTGGTGCCTTTCAAGCTGTTATCCCAGTGCTGGAGCTCAGAGCGAATGAGTCCAAGTCAGTCAGTGTGGGAGCCCTTTGGGAGGAACGGCCTTGGACTCCAGCAGCCCTGAGTCTCCCTCAGCCTCAATCCCTGCTTTGTTGTTGTTGTTCATCTTCACCAAGGATAATTTTTCCGTTGATATTTAGAGAGTGGAAGGGAAAGAGGGAGAAAGAGAGAGATGAACATCGATGTGAGACACACCCATTGGCTGCCTCTGGCACACACCAGGGGATCAAATCTGCAACCCAGGTACATGCTTTTGACCAGGGATCAAACCTGCGACCCTTCAGTGCGTGGGCCTATGCTCTAACCATTGAGCAACACTGGCCAGGGCAATCCTACTGGTTTTACAGCCAGAACTTATGGGTGCTTCTCTTTCTGGAACTGGAACCCTGGGCTGAGGGGCATGAGGTGGGGTTGGGACCCCTTGCTCCTCAGGGGTGACTTTTGCAGCTGAGATATCCCTCTTGATTTTTATCCACCACACATGGGTGTGGAATCAGCTCGTCCATGTCTCCACCCCTCCTACCAGCCTTGATGCGGCTTCTTCTTTAATTCCTCAGTTGTAGAACTTCCATTCAGCCAGATTTCAGGCGGTTCTGAATGATGGTTGTTCTGTAGTTTAGTTGTAATTTTGATGTGGTTGTGGGAAGATGTGAGTACCGTATTTACTTACGCTGCCTTCTTTACCAGAAGTCCCCTAAAGTAAAATTTCAAATGCCCTAGGCCATACCCCTAATATAGCTCTCTTTCCCTAGAGATGTTATAAGAGTAACCTAAAACAGTGATTCTCAACCTTTTTAATCTGTTACTACTTTTGATAAGCATAAAAATCTCACACCTTCTTTATAAAATTATTTGAAGTTTCAAAATAAAAAAGTCAAAGCAATTCTGAATATGTATTATCAAACCATTCACACACATTTTTGTTGAGATTACTACTATAAATTATAATTTTAGAAAGTAACATGACAGCTCTAAAAACCAATTTTTAAGTAAATAAGGTGTTAAACATTTAGGAATAAAGTTTTTACGAACATTTTCAAGACTATACATATATTTACCAATTCAACTGGGCAGTTTTCAATTTCTTGTGCCAAGACAACATTCATTAAAGGGGATTCCTCAGCAGCCAAAGAAACAATATCCTGCTAAAGCAAATTAGAAAAAAATAGGTAAGTTATCACAGTAGTAGTAGTCATGACAGGAATAATCTCATTTTGTTAAATGCTTTAATCATATGAATGCTCATTTATAAAGCTAATTTAAAATACTATACCCCAGGTAGGCAACCTCTGACTTAAATATTCCTGTTTTCCATATGCCTCCTACAAAAGAAGAACTTACATGCCTTTCCCCCCTTGCTTCCTTGTCACTCCTATTTCTTTTGCCACTGCAGATCCCATATCAAAAGTCTCTGCTGCTGTATGGCTGAGGCCACTTTCCTTTGAAGCATTTTATCTAGCCCCAGTCCCCTACCTCTATTCTCATGCCAGTACCAGGTGGTAGAAGGAGAAGATCTGCAAACAGAGGGGGTGAGAATGAGGAAAGGGCTATTAATATCCCTACCTAGGGCCACGACAGGATTCTTGCCGCCAATGCTGGAGGTATCAGTGGCAAAAGGGAGGAAAAACTGTATCTGGAAGGGGAGCAAAGACAAAGGAAGAAGGAAAAAGAGAAAGCCAGGAGTTCTCCATGCCCAATCCTCTCCCCTTTTCATTGCTATGGAAGCTGTCGGCCCCTTTTTCATCTTCAACCTCTTGCCAAGCTTCACTCCCCAGCTGTCATCTATGATCTTAACTAAGTTAGGAGCTTCCTACAACAGTTCACTTGCTTGATTTTTTCACTTCAATTTTTAAAAATTTTAGTGACTATAAGGAGTTGCATTTTATTCCTTAATATACATATTTGTGGAAACATGATTTTCTTTTAATTTTTATGAATATTCTGCATTGTAGATACTCTCAATTTTTCAGTTACTTTACATAAAAATTCTGTTTTATGAAGACTTGAAAATGATTAGTCAGAATCAATATTTTCCTGTCCCTTCAAACCGATTGTGTTCCCATTCCTGACTATAGTTCACATCTGTTCACCATTTTTGGAAGCAGAATAAGAATGGAATTGAAGTTAAAGCATGAGCATAGGATAAAGGAGTAAAAGGTTCAAAAGAACCAGTGTATCAATCTCTTTCCTTCACTTCAAGCACTTGGGAAAATCAATTTTGTTAATATGTTAAAAAGTCATAAACTAAACAAGCTTGCTTAATCATAATTTCAGTAGTTGTGCTCTAAGAAATGCCTGAGCCCAAAAAAGAAGAGAGTAGTACTGGCAAACCGGTATCTCAATATCCAGTATGTTATCAAATATTTAGTAAAACACATTCTCTTTTAATGCATTATGAAATTGTCTTTCCTTCCAAGGGCATTCAGTTTCACCGTGGGTTGACTCTGAATTCCCAGAGTGGTTATCAAAGTACAGTGATGATGGAACAGAACAGAAAAGCACTGGTTTGTTTTTATCTGGTATGGCTATAATATTTACATTTGTACAACCAATAAATTGACAACTGAGAAAATATTTTAAAGTACATTGTTTCCAAGTATGTTTTCAAATAACTATGTTTTTCAAATAAAAGTTATATCTTCAAATAAAAAAATTTTTCATTTTATTTTGGTCATGGATCTTTAGATAGTCTTTCAGACTCAAGGCTAAGGTAACTGGTTGGTTCAAAACATTCTATTATTAAAGGTGGGAAGCGTGAATTTATGCTCAAAATCAAAACATAGGTGTATTGTCTAGAGTCCTAAACAATGTCTAGAGNTGAATTTATGCTCAAAATCAAAACATAGGTGTATTGTCTAGAGTCCTAAACAATGTCTAGAGTCCATGACAAACTGAATGTGGAGCCTAGTAGTATTCCCAACATATAACCAGATTCAAGTACAATCACTTATTTAATGCAACATGCAAAATATTATTTCCATATGAAACTATTTGTTTTGTGATTAACTATCCTAAAGTTCTAGAAAATACTATTCTGCAAATGAAAATCATGTTTTATCCTGTAGTACTGCTACTTACTAAATAAAATTATAGGGTAATATGAGATGAAAAATATAAACTATAAATGTAAGAAGATACTAATCAGAGTCTCAATGTTCCTACAATATATCTGTGTCAGAAAAAATAATATTTTAATGATTTTCTTTGATTAACTTACCTCAGAACTAATATTTCTATTGGTGTCCTCATGAAAGCTACCATTTGATACATTAATCACATCCTTCCAAGTTTTGGGTTGACTTAACTCTTGTTGGGAATTTGGATTTTTCATCATGGAGGCCTCTGAATAATTAAGGAAGTAAAGATTTCACCAAAATATCTTTCCAACTTAAATTAGAATATGATTGTTACAAAAGAAAACTGACACTGGAGAATCCACTTAAGCAAAGGGTGTACAAACTCTCTATGGCTCCCAAGTGTCACATATTCACCTTCCCTTTCCCCACATCTGCCTCTTTTTCACCTCCACTCCCCATCCTCCACCGTCTCCTCGGCACTCAGCCCCATACGTTTGCTCACAAGACGACATGGATAGTTCAAGCCCACCTTGGTATATTGTTCAGCAGATTTTGATTTCAGGAAAGGTGATCAGGATAGCAGAGGCTCACTCACGACATAAGCTTGTTTTATTTTTCCTTTATAACAATCGCGATAATAATGAGCAATTATTAATACTCCATGTATCCTCTGGGTGTTTGGCAATACCTGTTGCAGGTTAACTATATTGTTTAAACGCTATTCTTATCACGAGGTGACTTTTCATGTTAGTTGTTTTAAAGTGAAACATTATCTTACTAGATATAAAAATTTTCTTTGTTGAAGGTTTGTGAATAATGTCTTTGGGAGTGGGGGAGGTGGGAAAGCGTGAGATTAAGAATAGTACACATTGCATGTAAATTTCATATTTTTATGTAGATTTGTGGACATGAATTAATCCACAAAGCAGAAAAATACAATACTGATGTAATAATTTCTTTTAAATTCAAATACTCTTCTAGAGATGAGATTTATAGTTGGGAATATAAAGATGGATCTCATCTTCATTTTGAAATGTAAAAGAAAATTTTTGTTTCTACAACATTCCCTTCAATATCAACAGAATTAGGATGTCTTACCCACTATGTTCCTGCCTCTCATTTCTTCCCTTATTGATTGCTTCTGTATCAATTTTCTTCCAAGTTTAAAGCCAGAGGACAGAAAGCGTTTTGTAAACAACTGTAAAAATATACATTTTTGTTTCTAGATTTTATACAAGTAAAGCAATTCAATAAATACAAGCACATATGCTATAAAGTCAGAATTATAATTCATGCACACACATCCAGCAAATTAATTCAAAATAAGAAGGTATTTTTTTAAAGTTTAAATTCTTGAATACATGAGTGTAAATATGTTTGTTTATTTATAGCCAAATGTTGCACCCATGTAAAAGGATGGAAACTATTACCATTTTCAGTTCAGTATGAATCAAATCCTGGGTAGCATTTGACAGAAGTGTATCCACTCCTCCCCTCTTTTTCCACATCATCAATCTTTGGGTAGGAGGTGCAAGTTCCAAAACCATGAGTGTGTCAGCAAAGGAAGTAAGCTGTTTATGCATAATTTTGCTACTGATCTCCTTGACTGGATCTATGAGCAATTTCCTCTTTTTGCTTTTCCTTTTCCAAGCAAGGTCTAAATATAAGAAATAGGCACAAATGTGATGGTTGTACAGCTTTGTAAAATGATATTCTAGGCACTGCATATCTAAGAAATGTCTACCACAATACAACCTACAGAGTTGCAGAGAAGAAAATCCCCTTCTCTCTACTGAAAATTATCCTTTACAAAGTTTTTGCACAACTAGAGTGTCTAAGCAGCCAAGAGTTCACACACTTTGAGTTGCTTCTCAATGATTCTGAGGGAAGACTCTGTTGACCAACTTAGTGGACAACTGAGAAAATGTGGAGCAGAGGGTATATTGATAAGGAAGTCACTCAATTCTTAGGTTCCTGAAGATATCTACATAACAGAGTAACTTTTTGAAACATTGATTTCTATTTGTCCAGTATATTTCCCCCTCCCCACCAAAATTCATACACAAAGTCTAAGTGGGTAGCCCATGGGATTTCGTTCCCATAGGAAATTTTACTAGGTAGAAAGCAAAAGTCAAGTTTTTCCTTAGTAAAGATGCAAAAGGGAAGGAAGGGTTAGATTTCTAAGAATGGGTGAAGATCTGGGATCAGATGGAGCCAGAAAGAACAGGAACCAGCTTACTGATGTGCCTCAGTAAAATCCTGGGAACATAAGATCCCAGAGGGGCTGGCTGTGTGGTGACTCCAGAGACTATGTAGGCTGGGACAGTGGGCACCACAAACTGATGTGGTTGATGACCAGAGGTTCCCTTCTACTTGCCACACATTTCCCCCAAATTTTGATACTACATGGCTTAGGGCAGATAAGGGAGCTATACAAACTGAAATTCTTGCCAGACCAGTGGGATAGAGGCTCAGAGTTGAATTTGGTAAAGAAAAAAATTTGAATGCTTTATTCCTGGCATACATGAGTTTATAAACTGAAATCCACATCAATTATACTACTTAAAACTAGTGCCTTCTTAAAAGGTCTAGTTACATATTGGATTCATATTTATTGTTATTCCTAAAAACACGCTTGAGATTAAATGTTAGAAAAGATTGTACCTCTCTTCTGATTCTTTTATTCTGCCTTATTTGACGTTCATTTACATGTTTATTTATTTCCTCATGAGGTTGTAAGTTTCCTTTTTTATTGAGTTTATTGGGGTGATATTGGTTAACAAAACCATACAGGTTTCAAGTGTACAACTCAACTAAACATCATATGTACATTGCATTATGCACCCATCATCCAAAGTAAAGTATCTTTCAGTCCCCATTTATCTCCCCTTTGCCCTCTTTCACCTCCCCACACCCTCCTTTCCCTCTTGCCATCACCGTACTATATATCACCAATTATATATATATATAATTGTAAGTTTTTTTTAAAGCAGGAGCTATGTCTTCTTCATTTGTGCCCAATACATAATAATAGCTCAATAACTACTGGAATTGAACTCAGTTTAAAATTTTCTAGTTTCCCAAACTCTTCCCCTATTGTATTATAAATGTTATTACTAGCTTGACAGCCTATAATATTTCATAGACTATCCAAATATCTAACAGTAAATAAGATAGTAGGTGTCAAAAATAAAAATAAAAAAACATGAATGACTCTGACCTGAAGCATCAATTGGATCAAGGATAAATCCTTCCTCTTCATTTGATAATGTGGTTTCATTCATTTTTTCATTTTCTGGTAGAGGTATACACTCTGGATTGACTGGTTCTATTAATCAACATCACCATAAAAGGAATTATTAAAAAATAATAGCTAGAGGACTCCATGATAATTAAAGTGAAAGAGAAACTAATTGAAGACTTATATTGCTAACTGGAGCCACATCTGAATTCTTAGAATCAGGTATATAATAGAGTTGAAGAGGCTCAGCTATTATATGGTCTGGGACATAGTGACTCGGTGACTCAAGTATCATCACCCTCTTTTGCACATGTGACATCTAAGGCTGGACTTAGACGTGACTGTGACTATAGTCTCAGCGAAAGTCAAACAGTGGTACTAATCATAATAAATGACTGACTTAAATTTGATTATATATCTGCTAAAAAATTTGTATTCTGTTAAATCATTCATTAGTTGACCCATAAAAAACCATAACTAAATTTTAACTAAATTTTAAATTTCTACTATTGTCTTAGAAAGCAAATGTAACATCAAAAAGTAAAGAATCAAAATGAAGCTAATCATCTTTTTAATTATTAAAAAAATTACTTAGAATATTTATGAAATTATTGTCAATAAACTTGTTCTTTAAGAAAAAAAAAATTAGACTAAAAGATCTCAAATTATTGGAGGTGCCTTCACACAAATTTCAAGTAGGAAATATCCCCCTATTGTAATTTCTCTCAAATTGTATGTAGATTGTCAAACCATATTAATATTAATATGGCACTAATATAATTAATAACCATATTAATGTCAAACATTAATGATGTTTTTACCATGTAACATATGTTATTTTAATGATTCAAAGCATGGTATTTGGAAGGGTATTTAAATGTGCTCTCATACCAAATAAACCCAGTCCTGGTTAAATAACCATTACTGTATCTTTCTCAGAACCCAGTTTCTTATTCTACATTGCCTTGAGTTTGTGGGACATTTTTAATCATCTTTCGATATATTATACTGCTACTTAAACTCAGAAGTTCTGAGCTTACTGTGAACATTAGCAACTGTTCACTTTCTCTACAAAGGAAAATTTCAACATACCCACTATCATATCAGGAGGATCAGGAGGCATGGAAATTTCTTTGTTCAAATGCATATCTTCTAACAGGATATTCTCATCATCTTGTAATAGATTGTCTTGAAAAACACAATAAATACTTTTGTCATACAAAGTTGAATCTATCATTTGTTCACTAACCCTTGACTGACATTATCATATGCAAGAAATTATGAAAGGATACAAAAAATGAATGAACCCTACTTAAGTAGATTTGATTAGATGCACGGACTATTACATTTCATGAAGGATGACAGAATTTTATGTCCTTAATTTTCTTTCCTTTATTAAAAAATCTATTATTAGATATTTGATTTCAGGAAATACTAAAATACCAAGATAGCAGCCTTGTTACAAAGCCATGTTTAGTTTCATATCAAGAAGTAAAAGTGTTCAAACTCCTTTGGTAGAGATCTAAGGTACAGCCACTATTTTTTCATATTTTCAAAATTCCAGAAGTTTGCCATAACCAGCCTTTTAATGTAAGCGGGAGAATTTTTAAAAGATTTTATGTATAACAGTCAATATGTTTAAAATATGTGCATTTGGATTTCCTAGTCTTTGTCTACCCTATTTCTATGATTACTTTCATATAATACAATATAAAAATAAAATAATAATATAAAATGCCAGACAGATCCTTTAGAATAGCCCTCCCACAATTTCTGTTCAAGAAAACAATGTTTTTAGGTATATGACCTAGTATATTTTGTGAGGACTATACTAACCTCATTCTTTCCTTTCTAAAAATTAAAAAGTTTTAAAAATAAAAACAAGCAATATTTCACAATCTATATAGAAAATATGTTTAAACAGATGGCTATTTACTTAGATCTAGCCTAAATGTTTAAATATATTACAAACTTTGAAAACTTGTGTAAAAAATGTGATTTATATGAAGCATACCTAAAATTTTATTTTGATCTAATAAATCTAATATATTAGTAATTTCATAGAAATAAATATCTAATTTCTATAGAACCAGACAGCATACCAATCATTTCTCCTGCAGCCCCTTCATCACCAAATCCATCTCCACTGTCATAGAACAGAGATTTTTCTCCATTGAGGCTTCCAGAACTATGTTCAGCTAAAGGACCACTGGAATTCAGCAAGATGTTGTCATCAAAGAAGCTATAGCTTCTGAGAATTTCAGATTCTTCCCCTAAATAAATATATATCATTAATACCAAGTTAGTCAGAAAAACACAGAATTTTAGGGTTAGAAGGAAATTCTAATATCATCTTCTATAGCTCCTCCCCCTCATTTTACAGATAAAGAAAATGAAAGCTAAAACACTTATTTGAATTATTAAATTAAAGCCACTCAGTTAATCAGTGGATACTGGAATTCTAGTCTAACTTTTTTTCCAATACAGTAAGAAAAAAAAAGCCAAAACACAGGGATAGAGTTTTCAGTTGTGGTGCAGTTTAATAATTCTTCTACTTTAGGTAGGTCATGTTCTGCTTGACCAAGTATTATTTCATATTATTTCAAGGATAATTGCTTGTGTTGTTAATCCATAATGGAGTATAGAAAGTAAGAAACATGTTTGCCTTCTTAGGAATGGGAAGATGGGTAAAGCATTAAAGAATGGGCTTACAACATTCAATAAAATAAATATTTGTATTATGCCAGGGATTGGAGATACAGCAGTAAGAAAGACAAAGATTGGTCAGCTAACCTAACATTAACTGAGTGCTTATTATGTGCATTACATTATGCAATAGAAGATACTATTATAATCCTCATTGTACAGACAATAAAGACATCCACAGAAAGGTATTATAATGTGCACACAGTCACACTCTAATAAATGACAAAGCCAGGATCTGAACCCAGCGGAGATAGTGGTAGGGTAGTATCAGTGTTAGAATTCTGACTGGTAAAATATTTTGTCAAATGGAAGTTTTTGACAGAAAACTCCTAAGACACTTACAGCACCAGATAAAATAAACTCCCTGTTTCAAACTGGCCTGCTTTCAGATTGGCTGAGAGTGAATATTCTTTCCCTTCCTTGGGTTTAAATCTCTATGTCCAGGAGTCTAAAATCCCAGAGGGTCAGAGTTTGGTCTTTCCTGTCCACTGTCTAATAAATCATGTTAGTGCTGGTCAGTAAAGAAAATCATGAAGTACCACTCATATTGAAAATTCTTCTATAGGCACACATCTTCCAGAAAGTAAGAGTTTAAAAAGGCAACCTTCATTGTGCTGGACTAAAGATTTGCACAAAAGAAAAGACTGACTTTTCAAAAAGAACTAAAAATATGTTCATATTTTCCAGGTGCAGCTTGATAGCTCCCTTCCCTCCCAATCAGCCTTGGTCAATAAAATAACACTTATGAAAAGACACTATATTCCTAGCACTGAGCATTACAAGAACCTGAGATTATACAAAACAATTAATGAAATAATCATTACCTTAAATCTTATATTGTAATCTAGAACAGGATGGATTAATATTCAACATTTCTTGAAGGATATCAGGTTTGAGTTAGTGTTGAGAAGAGAAATACCACTTATTGGTGGAAAAGATTAAAGGAGGGTATAAGGAAAATAACCCTGTGATGTTGATAGTAGTATCCCAATTTAGGGAAGTAAAGTAGTAAGGGATAGGCCAGTAAAGCTCAGAGAAGTTAGATAATTTTCCCAGTATCACACAGCAAGTCAATAGAGAAAGCCCAGGTCTGCCAGTCTACTAGAAACATGTTCTTCCCACATATGCTAGAAAAAGGCAAGGACAAAATTATTGGGGGTTTATACTTATACATCAAAACATTCTACTAGATATCTAAAGATCTAAAGATATTTCTACTAGAATAGAAATAGCTATTTCTATTGGCATTGTTTCAATACAAAAATGCAAATACAGGATGTCCCCCCCCAAATGTACACACACTTTAAACAGCTAATAGCTCAATTTTGAAAATGAAATTTATTTTAATAAACACTGCCTTTATAATTATTCAAAGTGTGTGTATACATTTTTTTGGACACTATATAACTGATTATGATGTAATTTAGATTTCCCAAATATTCTCACCAAAGCTCCCAGCTTGGAAAAGTAGATCACTGTGATAATCTTCTCTAAGTGTGATTTCTTCTGGTCTGCTTTGGTTCTGAGTAAATTTTTCTAAAACATCAATAGCGCTATGGAGAAATATAAGATTGAGGAAAACATGTGAACAGAACATGTTTTGTAGTATATTGCAAAACAACAAAAAATCCCTAAAACAAAAAATCAGGTTTTATTATAAAAATAAAGGAGATTTAAATTTTCTCAATAGTATTATTTGTAAACACTAGTTTCTTATACATGCGTATGATCTCCAGATTTCCAAATCCGATGGTCAACTTTCAGTCCTATCTTATTTACCCGAACCAATAGCATTTGAAATAGACGTTAACTTCCTTCCCTATGGAATACTTTCTACTTTTGGCCTCTGGGATACCACTCCCTCTCGATTTTTTTTCTACCTCACTGGCTGCTCCTTTTCCATCTCCTTTATTAGTTCATCTCCCAGACTATTAACTATTAGGAATGACCCAACACTCAGTCTGTAGACCTTTACCTCATTTTCTCCCTTACTTCCTCTCTCCCTTTTAAATCTATACTTACTCTCTTCGGGATCTCTTATGACTCATGGCTGAAGTTCCATGTATATACTCACAACTCCCAAATACATATATCCCATCCAGACCTCCTTCCTGAATCTCAGACCCATATATTCAACTACCTACCTATTCCCCTTGGATATATAACAGTTACCTCAAAAGTTATGTCCATAAAGGAATTCATTACCACCAAACCAGTATTACATGAAATGTTGAAGGGTCTTCTCTAAGAAGCTAATGAACAAAATAATCTGACAAACAAAATAGACCCAGAAACATGGAAGCATGCAACAGACAGTTATATCTCAGAGGGAAGGGGGTGGGGGGTGGGAAGAGATTAATCAAAGAAGTTATATGCATATATGCATAATCCATGGATACAGACAATAATGTGGTGAATACCTGAGGAGGGGGTGGGAGCAAGGTGGAGGGGGTCAATGGGGAGAAAAATGGGACACCTGTAATACTTTCAACAATAAAGATAAATTTAAAAACAAAACAAAAAAAACTTATGTCCCAAACCTAATTTACTTCCTTCATACTGTCCCTCTTAAACCTGCCATTCCACAGTTATCCTAATATCATTAAGCGGTAACTCCATTGCCATGCCAAAAATCATATAGTCATCCTTCACTTCTCTCTCTTAAAGCCATATCTAATCCGCAAATTGTGTTGGCTCTGACTTCAAAATATATCCATAATTTCATTGATACCACCTTGATATAAGTGAAGACTGAGAACCAATCACATATACTGTCATCTCTCACCTGGACTTCTTACTGCAATAATCTTTTCACAGGCTCTCTGCTTCCTCCCTTTCCCTTTACAGTAAGTAGCCAAAGGAAGCACACTGAAATAGAGTCCAGTCCAGTCCAGTGACTCTCCTATTCAAAACCTTCCTGAGTAAAATAAAAGTCCTTATTGTAGCCTACAACACCATACATCTGCATTCCTAGCTACCTCTCTGGCTTCATTCCTTACCATTCAGACCCTCATTTACTCCACTCCAGTCTCACTTGCCTCCTTGCTGTTCCTTGAAAACGCCCAGTGTGCTCTGTCCTAGCGCCTTTCTTCCCACTTACTCTACCTGAAACATTCTTCCTCATGTTATTGAATGATTTGTTCCTTCAGGTTTCCGTTCTCACCTTATTAGAAAAGTCTTGTCTGACCATTCTATTACCTATGTTATTTTCTATTTCTCTTTATAATGGCCATCTCCTGTCATAATGTATATTTACTTGTTTGTTTATTGTCTGTCTACTCCAACTAAAATATGTAAGATTCATATCGCCAGGAGCTGTTTTGTTTATTGCTATCTCCACAGTGCCTAGAACAGTGTCTGGCATATGGAAGGCACTCAATAAATATTTACTGAATGAATGGATGAATATACCGTCAATATTGCAAATTACATTTAGCATATCATTGACGAATTTTTGGTGTACTTTGAAGGTTCACACTAAATTTAAGTCTTTGTCAACTGCATGTTTACTTCCGTTAACTGCATTCCATTTGCATTCATGATATCTGAAGATGAAAATCTTGATAAAATATCAAGAAAGTCAAATTGAAAGAAAATAAATAAAATAATTTACTTCACATTCTGGATTTCAAAATCATGGAATTCTTCTGGCAATGTGATAGAACTGTAAGATGCTTCAAAGTTCTCCTTTGGAAGGTCAACTAGTCCTGAAAGGATGAAAAGCCACATTCAATAAGCAACAATGCTATGTAAAATAAGAAACTCCCAACTAAACCTTGTTCATTTAAGTAAGACATTCCCTCCCTGCACTACTGCTTAGTCTCCTAACTGGTTTCCTTGCATCCACTCCTGCCTCTCTTCAATCCATTCTCTACAAAGCAGCTAGAGTGGTGTTTTAAATACAAAATCAGATCAGATCACTCTCATGCTTAAAATGATTCAGTGACTTTCCCAGTGCATTTAAATAAAATCCTAATTTCTAATCAGGGCCTCTGCAGCCCTACAAACCTATCAGCATCATCTAAGGACACTCTTTCCCTCACTCACTATACTCCAACCATACTGGCCTTTTTGTTCCCTGAACAAGTTAAGCACTTTTTCACCTCAAGACCTTTGCTCTTACAGTTTCCTCTGCCCAGAATGCTATTCCCCTCAGGGACTTTTTAGATGACTGAGTATTTCTCATTCTTCAAGTTTGAGCTTAAATTCTACCCTCTCAGAAAGATTTTTCCTGACTAGCCTAACTAAAATAAAATTTGCTGTTATTTTCTGTTGTAGTAATCTTTTTATATTTCTCCACAGCATAATCACAATCTATAATTATTGTAATAATTTTTTTAAAACTTTTTTCATTATCTGATTTCCTCACCAGACCAAAAGGGAGCTATTTATCTTGTTTGAGCCTAGCATAGTGTTTCACATAATGTATGGGGTCAATAAACATTTGTGGAATAGATAAATGAAATAATGAACAAATTAACCATATTTGAAATCATTATAAATCTACATAGAGAATATATAAATATTTTAAATAAAGAAAAAACTTTGTTAATCCTCATTCAACAAAAATTACTTGAGGGAATAGTATGTACAAGGCACTGAGAAAAGTACTGTAAGAAATTCAGAAAATAAATAACAAAGATATCGCCTTCAAGGAGCTTACAGACTAGTGTGAGGCAAAGTCTATACCTAAATGACCGTAATACAAGATGGAACACTACATCTTAAAATTAAAATGAAACTAAATTTGAAGGCATTATATTTATATTATATGTAAATCTCTAGCACTTTGGGATGTCTAGGGATTTTTTTTATATATTATTAATAGCATGCTACTTAAGGAGTCTTGAGAATTCTGTAAACAGTGACAATTATAGATATCTAGATTTTGTCAATCACACTATTTCTAATTTATCACAAAAGGCAAAAACAGTTATGGCAAACAAAGTAACATGTTAAAACTATCACAGTTTGTTGTGCAAGCGTGATAGCTTTAGGTATATTTCTTATGTAAACACCCAGAAATATTACGAGTTTTTGAAAGCATAACCTTTTCCTGCAAACAGGAAAAGAATGAAGGAAAGAATATAATTTGTTCTTAACCATTGAAACTTAGATTCAGTCAAAAGAAAGATTACTTTCACTACACTCACCCTGGAATTATAGAGTGCTGCCAACTAAAAGAGCCCACCCAAAATAAAAATGCAAAAGGGAATCAAGACATATACCTGGGCGAAATGTCATCTTCATTTTAAGCAACGCTTCACTGCAATCTGCCAAAAGATACTTCGCCTTCCTATTATAGATTCGAACAACTCCCAAAAGAAGGTGTCCTGAAGTTCGAAGTGCAATTTTCACCTTTCAATAATTTTTAAAATATTAGAATATTAAAAATTAGATTCATAAACTCTGTTCTTGGACAATTACAAAATCATAAGAATTTCTTCTCTTTAAAAAGCAGACATTTTGCATCGTTATTTAAAGGGAATCACTTAACTTTTACCTCCCCTAGTAAAATAGTTAACTTCTTCAGTGAAGATAATTGAATGCGGCATTTAAGTGCCATTAAATGCTATTGTTGGTTTTAGGGGAAGAATACAAAACCTGAAGTCAGGCAGACTTGGGTTCAAGCCTTGGTTCAACTGCTGAGGCTGAGTCATTTAACCTTCCTGAACTTCAATTTATTAATAACAACTACAATTTATTATATACTTGTTCTATGCCAGGCACTGTCTTTCCGGCTTTTGATAATTAATTTTGACAGCAACCTTTATTTACAGAAGGAAAAAGTGAAACTCAGATATGTTAAGCAGTATGCCCAAAGTAGCACAACTATTAAGTGATGGAGCAGGAATTAAATTTAAATTTGACCAACTCAAAAGTTCACACTCTTAATTACCACACTTCACTGAAGCAAAAGGAAGCCCATCACATGGGATTGTTGTGAAGATGAAAAAACTAATGAACATAAAGTCTAGTCCACTGCCTTGCACACGGTTGGTTTATTATAATTCACCCTTCTTTCAAGGAGAAAACTTAACCTATAAAATATTAAAATAATATTTTAATGTAAATTCTAATACCTTGTTATGGTTTTTATAATGAACATAATACTTTATTATTTATGAAGTGTTTTTGTATATATTTTCATTTATACTCAATCCCCCCTTTTTCCTACTCTCCTTATTTATTCACTCATTTTTTAAAAGAAACACTTGTTTGGTACTACTACGCACACAGTCACCTGGTAGGGAATAAGAAAGGACGGATTACAAAATATGTATAAAACATGGCCTTTACCCTTCAGGGTCCAGCCTATTCATGATAAACAAATAACAGTTAATTACTAACAGAAACCAGTCTCTGCACAGGTTCAGACAATAAATGCTGTAGGAACCAAAGGCGAGAGGACCGCCTGGGAAGTAAAACGTCCTTGAAAACGTGTTTCGTGATATAATGTATTTTTAATTCCTTTCCTCTCCATAGGTCAGGGCAAATACATGCTATAATTTACACAACAACATACCTTAGGGGAAATAATCTTCTCAATGATCGTCTCCAGATTACATTCCGACACGTGGGCCTTTGTGAGCTTCTTCTCCCAGTGAGCTGCCAGCCAGATTTTGGCCAGCGGCCCTCGCTTGCTCATGAGCACGTGTGTGTAGAACATGCTGCCTGTGCTCCTCAGTCGTACTTAGCCAGCTAGAGAGAGCATTCAAAGATGTTTAAAATTGGACCACCAAAGCTTTTCAGTGCTAATTTACAGCAAGCAAAGACACTTTTCATTAATTTCGTAAGGCAACGCTCGGATTACCTCCTAGTCCAAGGTAGTATTCAATTCAGATTATTTGTTGTAAAGAAGGAACTCATTTAAAATACAAAATAACAAACTAATGACAGAGCTCTAGTGGATTATGAATCGCACCTGGCTCAAGCACGTTCTGATTACGGATCGCTTTTTACATTTTACTTATTTTATCCTGTAAAGGGTTTGAGTTCTTATTAATATGGCCAAATAAATAGAAGAGGAAGCCTGAGAAGAATAAGAGACGGAAACGGGAAAAACAACAACCCACAATGAGCTGGAGAAGGTGGGCTGAACTAAGAGAAGAGAACACAGGTCGCCTTTTTTTTTCTAAAATGTAAGGATTTGAGAAGTGCTGGATTATTGACTTATATCCGGGAGTTGAATTTCTTTGTTCCTTTCAAGATGCTCCACTTTATTCAACAATATATTAATTTTTGAAGTTGAAATAAAGTGGAAAAAATAAGAAAACAAGAAACTGTAAGAAGGCAAGAAAGGAAACAAGAATAAAATTGAAATGTTTTGAGATAAGAGTGTTAAAAGTAAACCACTGAAAACAGACGGAACTTGCGCGTCTCTCCGCGACGGCTCTGCTCTCACACACGGAAAGGCGCGCCGTTGGGAAAGGGACGCCGCGGCGCCCGGCCGCCTTCTGGGGAGAAGCAAAGCGTTGCTCCCACATAAGTAACTTTAAGGAGCCCCTATAAAAGATTCTTTTTGTTTGTTTCTTTCCTACTTAAAGTTCTGAGAAAAGAGCAAACTGAATCAAAATGAACACAAAGACAACGTCAGCCCCAGAATTAAAACTTGGGCTGCACCGTGATCAAGGCCCACGCCCCCAACAGAACCAAGCGCCTCAGACAGACAGGCGGTGCGCCCGCCCTGGCCCTCCGCCCCTCTCCTCCCCTCTCCTGTCCACTCCTCCCCTCTCCTCCCCTCCCCTCTCCTGTCCACTCCTCGCCTCTCCTCCCCTCCCCTCTCCTGTCCACTCCTCGCCTCTCCTCCCCTCCCCTCTCCTGTCCACTCCTCGCCTCTCCTCCCCTCCCCTCTCCTGTCCACTCCTCGCCTCTCCTCCCCTCCCCTCTCCTGTCCACTCCTCGCCTCTCCTCCCCTCCCCTCTCCTGTCCACTCCTCGCCTCTCCTCCCCTCCCCTCTCCTGTCCACTCCTCGCCTCTCCTCCCCTCCCCTCTCCTGTCCACTCCTCGCCTCTCCTCCCCTCCCCTCTCCTGTCCACTCCTCGCCTCTCCTCCCCTCCCCTCTCCTGTCCACTCCTCGCCTCTCCTCCCCTCCCCTCTCCTGTCCACTCCTCGCCTCTCCTCCCCTCCCCTCTCCTGTCCACTCCTCGCCTCTCCTCCCCTCCCCTCTCCTGTCCACTCCTCGCCTCTCCTCCCCTCCCCTCTCCTGTCCACTCCTCCCCTCTCCTCCCCTCCCCTCTCCTGTCCACTCCTCGCCTCTCCTCCCCTCCCCTCTCCTGTCCACTCCTCGCCTCTCCTCCCCTCCCCTCTCCTGTCCACTCCTCCCCTCTCCTCCCCTCCCCTCTCCTGTCCACTCCTCGCCTCTCCTCCCCTCCCCTCTCCTGTCCACTCCTCGCCTCTCCTCCCCTCCCCTCTCCTGTCCACTCCTCCCCTCTCCTCCCCTCCCCTCTCCTGTCCACTCCTCGCCTCTCCTCCCCTCCCCTCTCCTGTCCACTCCTCGCCTCTCCTCCCCTCCCCTCTCCTGTCCACTCCTCCCCTCTCCTCCCCTCCCCTCTCCTGTCCACTCCTCGCCTCTCCTCCCCTCCCCTCTCCTGTCCACTCCTCGCCTCTCCTCCCCTCCCCTCTCCTGTCCACTCCTCCCCTCTCCTCCCCTCCCCTCTCCTGTCCACTCCTCGCCTCTCCTCCCCTCCCCTCTCCTGTCCACTCCTCGCCTCTCCTCCCCTCCCCTCTCCTGTCCACTCCTCCCCTCTCCTCCCCTCCCCTCTCCTGTCCACTCCTCGCCTCTCCTCCCCTCCCCTCTCCTGTCCACTCCTCGCCTCTCCTCCCCTCCCCTCTCCTGTCCACTCCTCCCCTCTCCTCCCCTCCCCTCTCCTGTCCACTCCTCGCCTCTCCTCCCCTCCCCTCTCCTGTCCACTCCTCGCCTCTCCTCCCCTCCCCTCTCCTGTCCACTCCTCCCCTCTCCTCCCCTCCCCTCTCCTGTCCACTCCTCGCCTCTCCTCCCCTCCCCTCTCCTGTCCACTCCTCGCCTCTCCTCCCCTCCCCTCTCCTGTCCACTCCTCCCCTCTCCTCCCCTCCCCTCTCCTGTCCACTCCTCGCCTCTCCTCCCCTCCCCTCTCCTGTCCACTCCTCGCCTCTCCTCCCCTCCCCTCTCCTGTCCACTCCTCCCCTCTCCTCCCCTCCCCTCTCCTGTCCACTCCTCGCCTCTCCTCCCCTCCCCTCTCCTGTCCACTCCTCGCCTCTCCTCCCCTCCCCTCTCCTGTCCACTCCTCCCCTCTCCTCCCCTCCCCTCTCCTGTCCACTCCTCGCCTCTCCTCCCCTCCCCTCTCCTGTCCACTCCTCGCCTCTCCTCCCCTCCCCTCTCCTGTCCACTCCTCCCCTCTCCTCCCCTCCCCTCTCCTGTCCACTCCTCGCCTCTCCTCCCCTCCCCTCTCCTGTCCACTCCTCGCCTCTCCTCCCCTCCCCTCTCCTGTCCACTCCTCCCCTCTCCTCCCCTCCCCTCTCCTGTCCACTCCTCGCCTCTCCTCCCCTCCCCTCTCCTGTCCACTCCTCGCCTCTCCTCCCCTCCCCTCTCCTGTCCACTCCTCCCCTCTCCTCCCCTCCCCTCTCCTGTCCACTCCTCGCCTCTCCTCCCCTCCCCTCTCCTGTCCACTCCTCGCCTCTCCTCCCCTCCCCTCTCCTGTCCACTCCTCCCCTCTCCTCCCCTCCCCTCTCCTGTCCACTCCTCGCCTCTCCTCCCCTCCCCTCTCCTGTCCACTCCTCGCCTCTCCTCCCCTCCCCTCTCCTGTCCACTCCTCCCCTCTCCTCCCCTCCCCTCTCCTGTCCACTCCTCGCCTCTCCTCCCCTCCCCTCTCCTGTCCACTCCTCGCCTCTCCTCCCCTCCCCTCTCCTGTCCACTCCTCCCCTCTCCTCCCCTCCCCTCTCCTGTCCACTCCTCGCCTCTCCTCCCCTCCCCTCTCCTGTCCANGGGAGAGACGGGGGCGGGGCGGGGCCCTGGCATTCCGGCCCCAGCGGGGAGTCGCCCGCAGTGTGCTTTCACTCCAGGCACCCTCTGCCCTCCAACCTCACGGGTGCAGGGATGACAGGTGGGGCCGGGCCCCTCAGAACAGTGCGAGGTGGTAGAGCCTGACCCCTCGCCCTGGCCGCGGAACATCTCTGGAGTGGAGTCGCACCTCTTCCACACACCAGCGAAGGGGGTGCCCGGGGAAGTAATTCAGTCGCTCGAACCTCAGGTTTTCTCATCTGAAAAATGGAAATGATAACATAAAAGTATCTGTGCCAGAGGTATTGTAAGAGATAAGTGAGACGAAGCAAGTAAGGATCCTAGCGATAATAAATGCTCTATAAATATCAGCTATTATTTCTGTTATTAAACAGGTCATTCGCATTGATCCACCCTTTGGGGACAGAAAACATTTTCCGCCTGGAATATCACAGCTTTCAATAGCCAACACCAACTGTTAGAACGTAAGAAAAATCATACTAGAGCACGAAGATCCAAGGCTGGCTTCATAGTAAATATTAATAAGTATCGAAGTAGCAATGGCATCCAATATATAGATTATTGATAAGGTCTCAGGCTCCTTGCTGATAGGTTGTCTCACTCTTCAGACAACCTCACAGGTAATGCCCCTTCTGCAGTGAGGACATGGCCCAGATGAAATGACCTGAAGATCAGAACAAGAGTAGTAATTCATTATGAGGAACAGATGCATTTCAAATCAAAGTTTTGAAACAACTTGGACTGTTTGATAATCTAACTCAGTGATTTTCAATCCTTCTCATCTCACGGCACCCATAAACTAATTACTAAAATTCTGCAGCACACACAAAAATATATTTTTGGCCAATCCGACAAAGAAAATAGATATAGTTTTGATTCATTCACAGCAGATGGCTGTTGTTTTGGCTGTGGTCATTTCTTAAAATTTGACAATCTAAAGGAAAAGAGGTTAGTGCCCCTGACTAAATTAGTCAGGTATTGAATATCTTAAAAATTATTGTGGCACACATTTGAAAATCCATGATCTAATTAATTAAAAGGAGTAAATTATATAAATACCTTGGGAAAAGATTTAAACTTCTCATTTCTTTGACATGTGACATGGATGAAGATTTAATTGTTTTGGGAGGAACTGACAAACTGGTCAATGTGCTGCCAACTCAAAGAGTACTTAAAATTAGTCGTCACTATACCCAAAGATTTACAGCTTATATATGAAAGAAACTTAGAGGTTTTCCCACATTTGATAGTTAACTCTAAAAATTAACATGGCATCAAGCTTTATAACTTGCCCAATAAATTCAATAAAACATTTTTACAAAAGCTTTGCAACTTCAAGAAAATTACTTAAACTATCCACAAAAGGTTAACCAACCTTGTAAAGACTGAATTATCTTCTTTATGTATTTCTAAAAAGACAACAAAATCAGCCCTGGCAGGTGTGGATCAATGGTTAGAGCACTGGGCGAGGGGGGAGGGGGGAGGGTTTGACTTCCGGTCAAGGGCACACTCCTGGGTTTGATCCCCAGCCGTGCGTGTGTGGGAGGCAACCGATCAGGGCATCTCTCTCACATCGATGTTTTTTCTCTCTCTCCCTCTCTCCCTCCCTCCCACTCTCTCTAAAAATCAACGGAAAAAGATATCCTCGGTGAGGATTAACAACAACAAAAAGACAACAAAACCATTGTCTGATGACTAGATGATCAAAGGATATACAGCAAAGAAAAGTAGAGAAAAATTATTGAAGAGCTCTCATGCAGCCAGTCAACAAAAAAGTGATGCTGTCTCTACATTGTATAATGTTTGCAATATTTTTCAGCTTTTAAAATTTTGTGATTTCTTCTGTCATTCTAAAAAAGGTCTTCTAGCCGAATTCTGTATTTAGGACTTTGTATTCTTTTTCTTTGAGAGAAGACTACCCTGAACTTTAAAGGCTTCCAGCCCCACAAACCCGGTCCTGTCCTTGCCCAGCTCTATTCCTTTCGCTCCCCGTGCACTAGCCAGATTGGCATCCCTCTGTACCCGCTGCTCAGGAAAGTATCTGTAGATGAATGAATGAGTGACTCAGAAACTGGGATGCTAGAATGCTGACTGCGTGAAAACATGAATTTTGTCCGCTTTTTTCACTGCTGCATTCCCACTTGCAGAATAGTGGCTGGCATACAGCTGGAGGACAATAAGTATTTTTAAAAATACATCCAGGCCTGTTCAACTGCAGACAATGCTTCTTTCCGATGCCTCCAGTTATTTCCAGTTTACAAAGCATTTTCCCACTACCCCCTTCACAGATCTAAGAGGTGTCATTTTCATTTTAGAGTTAAGCTTAAATGGAGGCTAAGAGGAGAAGTGACTTGCTCCAGGGCACAGAGAGGTGGAGCTGAAATTCAAGCCCAGATCTCAAGAGACAGAAAGCCTTACCCTCCTCGACTACCAACAAGAGGTCCCATAAGAAAGCATGTGGTGAAGGAGCCAGTCCTACCACCCAGGGCGAGAACTACTGCGCATGGGCAGCAGGTGGCGCCCATCCACAGAGTGGCTCCCCTAGTCTGATGGCTCTTGGCTGAGGGACATAAAAACATTTGTCAAACACCAAACTTTGATCTGCCAGTTAAATTTGGTCTCAACTGTCCTGCTTTTGCTTTCTTGGCCATTGTTTTTTAGGCCTGAATAGAAAAACCTAGTCTTTCCCTCCTGAGTAGGGAAAAACCCAGTTCTCCACCTCTGGTGTGTCTTTCTTTTCATTTATATATTTATATATTTATTATTATTATTATTATTATTATTGTTGTTGTTGTTGTTGTTATTATTATTTCAATCCTCACCATGGGACATTTTTTTCCATTGCTTTTCAGAGAGAGTGGAAGGGAGAGGGGGAGACAGAGAGAGAGAAACATAGATGTGAGACACATTTATTGGGGGCTGGGGTGAGCCTGCAACACAGGTATGTGCCCTTGACTGGAACCCAAGATCCTTCAATCCGAAGACCAACACTCTAACTACTGAGCCAAACCGGCTAGGGCTCCTTTATTTTTACACAGAACATTTCTGGTTACCCAATGTGTGGGTGTTTTTCCCCACACCAAACAATCCTCCATGACAACAGCAGGGTGTCCTACAATTTAACATTATTCTGACACTATCTATCTGATCTATCTGGAGATCTCACAGGTTAAGGGCTCCCACCCTACTACAGATGCCAATGGGAAGTAGTAGGTCCCCAGCTTACCTACAACTTCCATCCAACTTGGCTGCAAATCAGAGGTTCCCATGACCTCCTTCTTGGTTCAATTAATTTGCTAGAAAGGCTCACAGAACTCAGGGAAGCAGTTACTTACCTTCACCAGTTTATTAAAGGGTACAGATGAACAGCCAGATAAAGAGATACATAGGACAAGGTCTGGGAGGGTCCCCAGTGCAGGAGGGCATCTACACCCTCCTGCTGTGTGGATGTGTTTCCCAAACTGGAAGCTCCCAGAGTCCCCTACTAGTGGGATTTTATGGAGGCTTCCTCACGCAGGCATGAACAATTATCACCTCCATTTCCAGCCCCTCTCTCCTCTCTGGAGGATGGGGGATGGGGCTGAAAATACCAAGCTTCTAACCATGGCTTGGTCTTTCTAGTGACCAGGAGCCATCTAGGAGGCAACGCAGAGTCAATATAACTCAGGAATTTACAAGGGTTTTAGGAGCCCCGTGTCAGGGTCAAAGACAAATGTTAGAGCAAGAGATGCTCCCAGTGCTCTGACAAGATGAGGAAGCTGGTCTGTCCAGAGGGAACAGAGCATGTGTCTGACACCCTGGTACTCACCAGACTTTCCCTCTGTTCCCCACATTTCCCAGCCACCTCCTGGGACAGATCACGTGACTTATTCTATTCACTGGGCTGTGGGAGGAAGGGACATATAGCACTTCCCATTTAAAGTGTCATAGGGCCAGTGTGTGACTCTCCAAACGTATCTTCCTTGCTGTGGCGTCTGGTGGATGCCTATGGGGTCTGAGACCTAGAGCCTTGAGAAGGGGTGCTGGCTGGCACCATGGGGAGGAACTGCTGCTGTGGGGTGAGGAAGTAGGGCTGGGTGGTGCTACAGAGAACAAAGATGAAGAAGCCAGTTCTTTCTCTCTCCTGCAGCCTCGGGGTGTCCCTCTAGCCCCATCCATTGTTATGTCACCATCACCACCATCCATCCAGAATGTTTCTCTTCTTGCAAAACTGAAACTCTGTACCCATTAAACAACAACTCCCCACTCCCCACTCTCCAAGCTCCTGGAAGCCACCACCCTACTTTGTGTCTTTATGGATTGGAATTCCATTTTATACATATATCACATTTTTCCCCATTCAGCCGTCAATAGATAAGTATTTTTATATTATCAACTATTATATTAAAAAAATCCCAGATTACTCTATGATCATTGTACCTATAATGCCTCCCCCTCGTCTCTGCATGCAATGGGCTTGCTTTTTCAAAACCATAAAAGCAATATTCTAACATGCAAGTCAATTTTCAAAAACAAAAGGCCTACCAATGATCAGGCCATCCGAACAACAGGACTTTTTATTTTCACCTCTTTCGTTTTTTTCAAAGTTATACTCCAGTACCCCACACTGCTGAGTGTTCGGCCAAATCGTCAAGCCTGTCGCCTGCTGTTACAGGCTGTTATTGCCAACCCTGCGTGAGTAAAATGCTGCTTTCCTCATCACTTCCCCCCCTTGCTTCTGTGAACATATGGATTGTATTCCTCAGGACTGTTTTGGTTGCAAATGAGGGGAACCCTACTCAACTCAGCTTAAGCAAAAACAAATTGGTGTGTGGTGGTGGTGAAATTTACTGATTGCAGTCACTGGAAAGAATGCAGAAGTAACTCATTGAATTAGGACCTGAAACCAGGGACTGAAAAGAGCAAGCACTCTACCTCTCAGCCCATCTCTTGTGTGGCCCTCTCTCTACTTCTCTTTCAAGATTAGCCTCTTTCTTTCCTAGCACAGAGAGGTCTTCCTTGCCTGGCAGGGAACATGGCCTCTGGCAGCCCTGCAATAGAACAAGCATCCAGCTAGCAATCCCAGAGAAGGGCTGTAATTGGCTGTGTTGAGTCACACGCCAACCCACTAGGTAGATCATGTTGTTAGAATGACCATGCATTATAATTGGGCAGGCCTGATCACATGTCCATCCCTATGACCAGAGTGGTGACAGTGCATGTTGCTTTCAGGTAAAGGGGAATGAGAAGTCCTGCTGGGAAGCCAGACAACAACCATCAAGTCATTACACAGGGTTCTGTTTTTCACCAAGGCAAGACTAGATGAACATCCTCGCACACTGAGCTCTTTGTTTTAACAATCACTTTTTGAGAAATTCCCAAGGACAGGGTTACTTCATGGTGCTTTCCAGAAGCCATGTAATTTATTTGTGTTTTCAAAGCATGTTCACATTCAATACCTTATTTGTGCCTCATCAACAATGCTGATAAGTGACAGAAAAGGAACCAGTGACACAGAGAAGGTGAGTGATGGGTCCAGGGACACATAGTGAACCTGGACACTTCATGACTCCCATTCCTGTGTCCCCCACTCAACAACATCACAAAACTTAGACTAGTGGGAGGTGGAGTTTCAAGTCCAGGGTCATCTCTAACCAGTTAAGGGAGGGAGCTTCGTCTGATGTCTACCCCTTGAAGGAGCTGGACCAGCCGCCTGGATGACATGGGCTGGTGACCCCTGCCTTCAGAGCCTGCTCGAGCTCTGATAGGTGATGTCCCTCTGCTGGACATGGCATCTTCCCAGTGGGCACTCTCAGAACGCAGCTCCTCCATGACACTGTGAAGATGCCTCAGTGTGAGCAGAAGCTTCTGGTCTTGGATCTGCATCTCAGCCTAGGAGAGAGAACAAGCCTGTGAGGGGGCGGTCAGTGCACTGGACATCCCCCCAGAAAGCCTGTTCCCATTACTGTCTCATCAGAGACAAGCCCACAGCCTCAAAGAAGCCATTTCCACCAAAGCCTCAGTTTCTTCATCTGCAAAGTAGAAAGCAAATTTCTTACCTTTCAAGGTTCTTATTTTAAGTAACCAGCTCAAAATGGTCCTATACTGTTCAATGAAATACTGAGTTGCTTTTCAGACCTAGCAGACGAAGACCACAATCATGCAGCCAGGGCACGGCACAGAGGAGAGAACTTTGGCCACCAGCTGCACCCAGAACCAAAGTCTTACCACCACCACCACCACCAACGCCCCCCAAATCCCAGCTCCCCCCACCACAGAACCAAAGGACCAAGAAATAACTGGAACTGGAACACTGGAAACCTTTCCGAAGTCAAGGGTCTGTCATCCAAGAAGACCTGGTGTTGATGCCCCTTTACCATAAATGGCCAGGTTCTGAGGTCTTCTAATTAAAACCTGCCCCATCAGCACAAGCACTTCCCCATAGCCCCTTAAAAACCCTTGCCTGGTCCAGCAAGCAAGATGGATCTGAGGCACCAGTAGGCCTCCCATCTTCTCGGTTGATACCTTCTTAATCAATAAACCTTTTCTTACTCCAAACCCCGATGTTTTGAGTTTTGGCCTTTCAAAGCATTGGGCACACAGACTTTGGTCTGGTAACATTATGATGATCGAATGAATTGGCTCCCATTCTAAAATATGACATACTGAACACCCAAGGTCTGTGATTATCTTCATTATCATCATCATCATTAATATTAAATATTAATCTTATTTACAACCCCGCTTATATGCTATAACCCTCACTGCAACATATCTCATTTTATAGGTATTAAGGTGACAGTGACTTCATATTAAAGTGAAGTCCACCCTGCAGGCTGGCAGGAGCCCTTTCAAACACTGCCTCTCAGCATAAGGTCTGGGGAATCCTTGGGTCCCAAAAGCCCTTTCAGGGGCTTAGTGAGGTCAAAGCTACTTTCATTACAATACTAAGATATCATTGCCCCTTTCACTTTTAGCTTATGAGCATGGGGTGAAGTTTTCCAGAAGCTGTGGGGGGTGATATGCATCAGATTGAATGTAGAAACAGGTAGAATCCAGCTGTTCTAATAAGGGAGACACTAAGGAGATTTGCAACACGGCAAAACAGTGTCACTCTTCTCATTAGTTTCTTTGAAAAAAATGTAGTGTTTTTTTGTTTTTTTTTAACATATCTTTATTGATTTCAGAGAGAGGAAAGGAGGGGGGGAGAGAGATATAGAAACATCAATGATGAGAGAGTCATTGATCGAGCCCGCAACCTGAGCATGTGCCCTGACCAGGAATCGAACCCCAATTGCCTGGATCCCAGGTCGATGCTCAACCGCTGAGCCACACCTGGCCAGGCAGAAAAAAAATGTAGTTATTTTAAGTGAAATATTTTATTAACATGTAATGAGTTTACTATTGTTATTTTTAAATGCATGAATAAATAAATGCTAAAATTTTCTGTTTCGGTGTCTAATTCAATCGATATTGATAGTTCTAACTCACACAGGCAAGGGCTTTTTGGTGTCCTTAATCATTTTTAAGAATGCAAACAGTTTCTAAGACCAAAACTTGGAGAACTGCTGCTTCAGGACTCTACCCCCATCACTCACACATCTCTACTCCTATTTTTCCCTAAGGATGTTTTCCCTCATGTAGTTTTTCTCTTATGCTTTCTCTTTTAAGATGTTAAAATTATTTTTCTGACTAGATAATTCTTACATATGATATAAAATTTAAAGCTCCAAAGGGGCATAGTGTAAAATCTCCCCCACCTCATCCCACTCTATGTGACAACTGTCTCCTCCCCCAGAGGCGGCCACTGGGAACAGGTTTCCCTTCGAAGCTGCCTGGGGCACAGCCGGCCAGGCACATACATTCTCAGCCGGTCTCTCTCTTTCTGTCTCTCTGTCTCTGCCCCCTTCTCCCTCTGTCTCCAATCTCTCAAAAAGATCATTACTAACATTATGTCTCCATTAAAAATAGTATTTTTATTATTATTACTTTTTAATCCTTACCCTAGGATATGTTCTATTGACTCTAGAGGGAGGGGGAGAGAGAGGGACATCAATGGGCTGCCCCCATAGGCACCTCAACTGGGGTTCAAAACCGCAACTTTTTTGGTGTGTGGCGTGATGCTCCAAGCAACTGAGCCACCAGGCCAGGGCTCTATTTTTCTCTCCATGACAAACTAATGACTCCCAAACCAGAAGGGTGAAGCCTGTTTCCCCCGCCCCCGCAGTAGTGATGCCACCGAGAGAGCAGGTGGCTTAGAAGGGGAACCGTGAAGGTGACCACCCCAAGCACGCGCAGCCATCCCTTCCTAATTCCTGGGGAAACCTTGTCTGTGTTTTCGGTCTTAAGGTTTTCCTCCCACACGGCTTTAATTTGTTTTCATCCAGCCTTTAGCACCAGCTCCGGGTGGTGGTCGTGACGACACCCTGAGGCGTGGAAGCAGTGCTAAGGGAGGTGGTGGACTCCATGCCTTTGGCCTCGGGGGCTGAAACCCAGGCTAAACTGGCTTCACCCCTAGGGAAGTGGCCTGTCTCCCAAGGCGGGAGGCACCGGGCGGAGGCCGGCTCTGGGCTCAGTTTGCTCAAGCTTCGCAGTGTGTAGCTCTGTCCTACTGATGCATGCCACTTAGTCATCCGGCTGGTTTGCTCTCTCCCCTCGTTTACATCCCATCAGGACTTGGGGGCTCACACGATCCCTGGGAAGGAGGGCAAGCACTGGACTTTGGTCCATGGTAGTCATTGGTGTTACTGATTTTTTCCTTCTGCTGCATGAAGTGACTGTCCAGTGCTGGTCCTTCCCTGACAGCCATTGGGGCTTCTTGGCTGGGCTCCAGAGGGACCTTATGGAGTTATGTAGATTGCATGTGATGGAGGTAAAGCACAGGCTCCACTGGGGAATTCACATGTCAGGAATTAACAAGAGGAGACTGAAGGCTCCCATCTTTTGGCATCACGTGCAGGGAGGTGCCTGGGCCTGGGAGGCTATGCCCTAGAAAGCCTCCCCCCACCTGCCTTGTTCCCCCTCCCTATGGGGTAAGAGAGATAGTTTATCAGCTAGAAAGTGGCACTTTGGGTTCAGGCACCAGTCTCAGCATGGGCGCCCAGTGTTTAGGGGAGGTTGGGGAAGGCCTGCTGGCCAGCCTCTGAGGGCCCGAGGACTGTAACAAACTCCAGCATCTGCTGCTGGAGTCCTCTGGTCCCAAGAGAAGCCCTACTCGGTCAGCCCCTCCCACCGGGGTGAGGATGGGGTTGGATCCCAGCCAATCTGTTGCCTAGCAACCCTGAAAGGTCATTTTGGGACAATCCTATCTGTCCTTCCCCAGAAGGAGAATCTGGCCTATTGGGATAAACTTTGGGTGCCTTCTGAGGTTCCCTGAACCACCCCTTTCTTGCTCTTAGCTGATATCTTCACACACTTTGGGGCACCCCTCTATTTCTGAACTTGGAGAAAATACCACAGGGAGAGGCATAAGGCCTAGCATCCTGAGCAGCCACCGAGAGACCAAGAACCATAACTCAGGAGAGTTAGTTCAGCTCAGGAGAGTTAGTGTCCCCTGGGTGGACCTTAACCCACAGGCCATGGGAGACAGGAGTGAGCTGAGCAGATACATTTTCTCTTCCTTCTTTCTCCCCCAGGATGCAGACCCTCCTTCAACCCCTGCAGAGAAATCCTGCAGCCAGGTTAACCAGGTGTTGAGAGAGCCACTGGGCCTCCTTAAGACTCCTTCTGAAGTGGCAGTCAGCTTGGTAACACCATGCATTGCCTCGCCTTGCACAGCATTGCATTGGCTTTGCCTCCACTCCCCATTTTCTTCACTCTCACTGCTCTGGGCTTGCACCTCCAAATAAATCGTGAGTACCCCAATCTTTGTGTGAGCCTCTGCTTTATTACGATCCTGACCCAGGTGGACATAGAGTTCACCCAGGCTAAGACAGTGTGTCAGGATTGTAATAGCCAACGCAGATGTACCACGCAGACACTGGGTGGCTTCTACCGTCCCCTCACCAAGTTCTTACAGTAAGCCCTGCAGTGTGGGTACAACTGTTATCCTGTCTTCTGATAAGGAAACTGAGGCTCAAAGAGGTAGAGTCACTTGCTAGAAGCCACATAGCAGCAGAGCTGGGCACATACCCAGGACTCTGTAATTTCTAAAACCAGTCTGGCACGCAGTGCACCCAGAGCCTCCTATGTAGGCCATGACCTACTTATCCCTGTACCTGAGATGGCGATTGTGCACTGCGCGGCTGGTCCCAGAGGGGTGCCTGCGGGGCTTACACCCCAGCCTGCTGCCTCTGTCCCAGCAGTGGGCAACCTGGGAGGGGGACCAGTAAGCCTTGGTATATGTGGGGTGGAGGCGTCAGGTAAAAAGAAATGCAAAGCCTTACCAGCTCCTTCCTCAGCCACTCCAGGGTCTGCCCAAGATTCGGGGTTGGCTCTTCTGCTGTTTTCATCTCAGTGTCCTTGGGACAGACCTTGACGCTGACCTGGCGATGGGCTTGACAGGCCTTTGACTTACACAGTCTCCTGCCTGCTTCGGGCTGGAAGCTGGGTCTGGCCAAGTCACCGAGGATGAAGTAAATGAGACCAGGAAGTGGCTCACATTGGAAAATGTGGTCGTTTTTTTTTTTTTAAAGGGCTTCAGTGCTTGAAGAGAAAAAGGAGGGAGAGCGGGAGGGGGATCATTGGGATAACGGTGCCTCAGTGCCTGTGAGTTCCAGAATCCAAGACTTGATGCCCATAGGATCGCAGAGACTGCAAAGCTTTACATGATGAAAACAATAATTATTATGAGAATAGATGTCCCCTTCTGAGGGCTCTAAGTGACGTGTATATCTATAACCTCTCTCTATAAAATATATATTTATATTATTTATATATAAAACCTCATTTGTTATATATTGTATATATTATATGTAATATTTATAGATACATATATAAATATTTTATATGTATATATAGATACACACACACACTCATTGGAGCAAATACCCCTCCCTCCCTCACCGATCCATAGAGTCTAGATAAAGGGAAATAAATGCTCGCTCTCCAAGTGCCCTTGCTTCTGGGATGCCCAGGCATCCCATTTCTACCCAATGAGATCAAAACAGAAATTAGCTGTTAGAGTTCTAGGAAAACTTTTACCTAGCTGATAAAAAAAGATGTCAGTGATGCTCCCCTTCTATTCCTTCCTCCTTCCCATCTTTCTGCCTGGAATGTGGGTGTGATGCCTGGAGCCACAGTAACCATCTTACAGCCCTAAGACAAAGGTCAAGATAACGGCATAGGCTCTTTGTTGTTGTTAATCCTCACCTGAGGGTGTGTGTGTGTGTGTGTGTGTGTGTGTGTGTGTGTGTATATATATATATATATATATATATATTGAAACCCTCACTCAGAGGATATTTTTTCCATTTCTTTTCAGAGAGAGTAGAAGGGAAAGATGGAGGGGGAAAAGGGAGAGAGAGAGAGAGAGAGAGAGAGAGAGAGAGATGTGAGAGAGACACATTGATCAGTTGCCTTCTGCACATGCCACAACTTGGGCTGGGAATCAAACCTGTGACCCTTCTGTATGCAGACTGACTCTCTAACCACTGGGCCACACTGGCCAGGGCTGCATAGGCTTTGAAATCACTGAATCACAGAATCAGCAACAGCATCTGCCTCTTTTGTGAGACAATGAACCCCATTTTTAATTGGGCAAATATAGTCCTAACTGACACACCATTTATTCTTCACAGTGCATTATGAAGTGGACATCCTCTAATTCTTTTTTTTAACAAACACTTATTGAGTGCCTACTGTGTGCCAAGTTCTACTGTAGACACTGGGGATATTGCTCAAAATTAGGGAGACTGAGGTCCTGCTTTCCTGGAGCTGACATCAGAGTGGATAAAAAGAAACAATATTAAATTAATATTATGATGAAAATGATAGGGCCTATTCTCATGTAGGTTTTTAACATATTTTTATTCTATCTACATGAGCTAGGAACCCCAGACTAAGAATTAACATAGTGATGCCAGCTAAAGAGCTGAGGTGACTCCCCAAACAAACTCAACCAACTCTGGAGGGACCTTCCTTAACCCAGACTACACACAAGCTGTCCACAGATAAAACTCCCCTGAAGATGGACTCATAATCCAAAATTACAAAACACACAGGGAAACAATGTACCATAAGTGATAGTCAGCAGACACCTTTAACAGCAGGATCAGACCCCTCTGCCCTTAAGAACTTCAGACGAAGACAACAAAAAAGTATTTCAAAAAGAATTAAAGTCATACAAGAAGGATTTTTAAAAGTATGAAAAAAGACACGGCTTTAAAAAAGCAGATCTGAGCCCGGCTGGGCGTGGCTCAGCGGTTGAGCATCGACCTAGGATCCAGGCGATCGGGGTTCGATTCCTGGTCAGGGCACGTGCCCGGGTTGCAGGCTAGGCAGCCGATCAATGACTCTCCCATCATTGATGTTTCTCTCTCTCTCTCTCCTCCTCCTTTCCTCTCTGAAATCAATAAAGTTATGTTTCAAAAATAATAATAATAATTAATTAATTTAAAAAAATAAAAAGGCAGATTTGAGAGAGGTGGTTGCCAGAGGTGGGTGATGAGGAGGTGGGCAAAATGGAGGGAGTCAAAAGGTACAAACTTCCAGTTATAAAATAAATAAGCCACAGGATGTGATGTCCATTACATTGCACGGTGACTAGTTAGCAACACTGTATTGCATATTTGAAGTTGCTAAGAGAGTAAACCTTAAACGTTCTCCTCACAAGGAAAAAATATTCTGTAACATGTACGGTGATGGATGTTAACTAGACTTATTGATCATTTTGCAATACACACAAATATCGAATCATTGTGTTGTATACCTGAAACTAATAGTGTTGTATATCAACTATACCTCCATAAAGAGGCAGATCTGAAAAAGAAATAAATAGAATTTATAGAAGTAAAAATTATAGCAAATGCTTGTAAATTAAAGAGAAAAAAAAGAGTACATTTAGTGCAGCTCTGGAATACAGAGCTAGGGCAGTGGGTACAGGACATAGGGAGGCAGGCTGGGACTCGGCAGGAGGAAAGTGCTGCTTGGGATTCTTCCAAGCAGTAGGCAGTCCACGGAGTGTGGAAGCCCAGCCCAGGTGGTCAGGGAGGCTGCGGAAGGGGCTGCTCTGCTCAGCGGTGGGGCCTGGGCCTCCTTCCGAGTGTGAGATGGACGGGGCACGAAAAGGGGTGTCGGGTAGGAAGCCAGGACACCTGGCTTCTAAACCAGCTCTACCAAGCTTCCTGTGTGAACTTAGACTTATCCTTTCTGTCTTTGGCTTAATGAGGCTCAGAACAGTTACTAAGTTGAGTTGCAAGAAATGTCACATTTCTTGTACGCTGGGGCCTACAGCTGAGATGCCTTCCGACGGCCACACGCGAGAACATTTTATATCAGTTTCTCCTTCTCCAGCTGCCACTCTCTAGAACCAAAGAGGGTCTGAGAAACTCTTGCCTGCCACAGTCATACCGCTTCTGAACACAGGGGACAGAAATGACTTCCTCTCAGCAGGCTACCAGGTTTCATGTCGCATGGCCCTGTGACTACGGAACAACTGTCTGGATGAGAGGTGGCTGCCTGTGCCCAAGGCAGTCACCGACAGACTGGACGGGAAGGAGATCCTGCGCTTGTGGGTGACCGGTGCGAAAGGAACTGAGTTCCAGGTGGTGACCAAGGGAAGGGGCAGGCAGAAATCAGCAGGTGGCAGGAGCTGGAGCCAGGAAGTATGGCTGGGTGGCTGTGGCAGGAGACCAAGAAAGAGCTAGAGACTTGAAAGATAATGTAGGACAACCAAAATTTATGGATCTACTCTAGACCAGGAATCATGCTAAGTCCCTGCCATACATAACTTCATTTCATCTTCAAAATCTTTAGGCTCCAATTCCCAAACCATGTGCCATGGGACCCTGAGGCATGGCAGAAATCTCACAGAGGTACCGCAAAATATTTTAAAATTTCAAGGGAAACACAATAACATCTGTTGGGTACTGTGCGAACTACCATTATTAAGTTGTATAAAACTAATTGCTTAATAAATAACTGTTAGGTATTTCTTTGGGGCTGGCACACTGTGAAAAAATTACTGAAATGCTCAGGGTAGTGTGAACTGAGGAAGTTTAGGAACCTCTGGCTATGAGGGAGCTGCCATTGTTATCTGCATTTAGAGTCAATCACAGATAGATCCTATTATTAGCCCCTTTTTACAGGTGAGGAAACTGACACTCAAAGATGCACGGATTTTCCTAGGATCACCCCTGCAGGTAAGCAACAGGTCTGGAATTAGAACTGGTTCTCCCTGACCTGTGTGGAAAGTCTTGCCTGTTGTCTTAAAGTGATGGAGAGCTAAGCAGGGGCTCAAGCCAGGCCATCTGTTGACCACCTGGGCAGGTCCAGTGGGTTCTCTGCCCAACATAGTAGTGGGCAGATAGGAGTGTGTGGCAGTTAGAGTCTAGAGCTCTGTCTTGGCCTCCAGCGCTGACACCTAATTACCCTGGAAAACCTTTTCTCGTGGTTGTTTTGATGCACTTTCATTTACTTTTAATCCCTCTTAGGATTCTGGCTCACTTTACTTCATAGGCTCAGAAGGGCGTGGCATGTGGGGATAAGGGACAGTGGAACCAGGAGGCCTGGGAAAGGAAGGAACTTAGACTCTGAGTAAGGAAATGTCTTCACCAAATACAAAGTCAGAACCACCATCCATTTGCCATCTATGGGCAGCTAACATATGGCTCCCATGTGTCAGGCCCTGTCCTGGATGCTGGGGGTACGGAGGTGAGCAAGAAAGACCTTACCCCTGACCTCAGGGAGCTCATGGTCCAGCCAGTAAGAGAATTCATTAGCAGTCAAGTGGTTCAAAAATTGTACCCTATACCACAAGCCTGGCACATATATACGCAGAGCAAATACACGAATGAAAGAATGAATGAATTTGCAAGAGAAGAAACTATGGCTCAGGTGGAGAAATGAGTTGCCCAAGCAATTCAGCAGCTGGGACAAAAATAGGCCGTCCCTCAATATCCCTTCTCTTAGTCACTCATGGCAAAAGACTACATTCCCCGTATCCCTTGCAGGTATCTGTGGCCATGTGATTAAACCCTGGCCAATGGGATACGAACAGAAGTGATTTGTGCAATTTCTGGATCGTGACCTTAGAAGGAGAGAGGGTTCCTGCCTCTTCCCCCTGTGCGGAAAGTCTCGCCTGTCCTCCTGCTGACTGGAATGCAGCCATAAGGGCTGGAAGTGGCGTAGCCATCCTGGACCACAAAGTGGAGGATGGCAGAGCAACAAGATGGAAGGAACCCAGGTCTCTTGGGACTGGTAAAGCCACCATGCCAGACTTAACTGCCAAGTATACTTTTACATGAGACAGAATTAAGTTCTGTTTTATTAAAAACACTATTTTTTTTCATTCCCTTCAATACAAGAGTCAAACCAATGTCCTAAAAATATAGCAGCAGAGCTAGCAGCAGAAGTCAGGTCCCTTGATTTCTCCACTCAGGCTCTTTCTATAATCCTCCCACCTATGTTATTTTCTTCCCAGTGTTTTCTTGTTCATGACCTGACCTGCTCCTCACAACAGCTCTGTGAAGTTCACAGCAGAAAGCAGCCTTCCGTGATGCTCAAGGGAAGACAGGAACCAGAGATGTGAGAGTTGTAGGTGACCTGCCCTGAGGCACATGGGCAGAGGTCTCCCATCTCCTGGATGGGGCAAGTGGACTCAGCGATGTATTTAGCTCTGCCTCTACTTCTGACTCCCAGTCTAGGGCCCTACCCACCCTTGGGGCTGTCTCCTCTCCTATCCTAGGCACCTCAGCCCTCTCTCCCACTTAGTAAAATGCCAATGAGGTAGACATTTAGCAGAGAGAAGCTTCTACATGTTAGGGCCCTCAAACCTTCCCACCCTCTCTTCCTCCCCACATGAGCACATGCCATCATGCCAGCCAGAGGAGTGTGGGGGTGCAGTGCAGTTGGC